GTGCCTAAAGATTACTTCGTGTGGCTATAAACGATCGTTAAATGAAATGATGAATTTTTGAAGGATTTTGAAAACGGAAAAAATGATAGTCATGCTGGCCCAGCATCATCAACATTGGAAAATGCCTGGCATGAAGTGGTTAAGATAGTGTTGAACAGCTCCATCTTTGTAACAGAAGAAATGTTTAATATACAGTAAGCTGTGCTTAATTGTTGGCTTTGTGGTGGAAATGAAGCTAATTGCTGGTGAAATGCTGTCAGGCATTGTGGAGCTGATAAATTTGAGTGTTAATTCCAAATAGACTAGTTCCTGTGTGACAAGATGCAGAACCAGTGACTAGGTATCAGCATGACTTGGCATGATCCTGCTTGATGGATCCAATTAACATATCATATTGCTGTCTTCATGCAGCCAAGTCAGTACTGTGCAGGTTGTACTTAGATCCCATGGGTGTTTATTGCGTGATATGGCATTGTGACAAACCCTCCTTGGTGGATGACAGAGTCATGGTAGTAATGTGGAGTCATTGTTGCAGCTGTGCTTGTCTATAACTGCTCAATTATCATGCCACTTAGCCACTTCCTCTCTGGTTGACTCATCCAAAAGGTCTTCTCCCTGCACACCGATAGTCAAAGCTAATCTTGGCAAACAATCAAGTATCTTACCATCTAATATGTGGATCCTTTAGTGAACAGGAAAAATGAAATTTCATGACCTTGACAGTTGACAGTCTGTTTTATCTGAGATTGCAAGAAATGCCTTCCTTCGTGTGTTCCATTCTTGCTTGACCTTTGGCCCATAGACAAGGCTGGGGGACTTATGTCAGTGCACACTAGTGTACAGTAGCATTCATTTCTAAGTCAGAAGTTAGGCAATGCGTATTACGAACAAGCTGCTTTCATTCTGACATTTGACTCTCAGCAATCACTAAACAGTCTTCATTTTTTTTAAAACCGCACAAATGAGAAGAGTTGATGCACAAGATACGCATTGTTCTGCAGTTGTGTAGACACATACATGTACATTGTACCTTCATGTACTAGGGGACCCAAAATATTTGTTGGATACACAAAGTCTCCCATACGTGTAGGCTGTCTAAATTTTCCTATCAAAAGAGAGCTTCTCTAAACACAGTGCTAACCAAGTCACATACTTGTATCTACACGCAATTGGATTAGCAAAGAACCGCACTGTGGAAAAACTAACAATTTCATTCATGACAAAAAAGCATGATTCGTCTAAAACCAACAGAATTATGGAGTTGCAAGACATTGAACTGTTTTCTATGGGCACATATTAAGAATGGTGCAACCCCTCTGGTGGTGGAACGTCAGGGGGAACATTGTGCTGGTATTTGTGACACTTGCATAAGATGTGAAGTCTACCAGCGACCTGTGGAATAAGTGTTCGCGTCTCAAGGAATGCCAGCAAAATGTTGCACTGTGCTTCGTGGAAGGGTGCAAAAATTAATTGTAAATAATCCCTGTTCAGAAATTTGTCTCAAGCCTTTCAAGTTCTTTGCTATTGTGTAAAAAGGGCTATCATCTTATTCATAAGTTAGCCATTTTGAATTAAAAGTGAGGCCAAAGTGCTTAGAAATAGCTGCTAAAACTTAAATACATGATAATGTCAAACTACAGTGGAACATGATTAGTGGGATATGGGTTTCATGGTAGCCATTCTGTATGGGATGGGGGTTTCATGGTAGCCACTCTCTATGGGATGGGGGTTTCATGGTAGCCACTCTATGGGATGGGTTTCATGTTAGCCACTCTCTGTGGGATGGGGGTTTCATGTTAGCCACTGTCTGTGGGATGGGGGTTTCATGGTAGCCACTCTCTGTGGGATGGGGTTTCATGTTAGTCACTCTCTGTGGGATGGGTTTC